GGTCACCAAGTGCTGGAGTCAACCCGAGGACCCCTGGTGAAAACTTGGAAAACTTATTTAGTTTCCCCAATCCTCGCTTTCCTGGTGGGAATAATAATAATTTCCTCATGTAATTGTAGGAAAACTGAAAGGAGATATTGTATATAAAGTGTTTAATGTAGGGTCTGATGTGTAAACAATATCTATCATACGTAATGATGGCACACAGTTGTAATGCAGTGGTGCTGCTCTTTTACATAAAATATTGCATAGGTAATATTTGCATCCAATACCTCTCCTATGTACCCTGGCATATATGCTCTCTTTTAATCTTCCATCTTTCCATTTTCTACTCTCTCACAACCACCTTTTGCCCAAAGTCCTATCAATGCCTTTTGTCAGTATTCCATAGTGTGGTGGCTTGAGTATTACCATGATGCTGGGAGCTATCTCATGTTAATTTAAATACCCCAGGTCACCCATGATGGACAGGTTTCAGTAGAGCTTCCAGACTAAGACAGGCCAGGAGGAAAGGCCTGGTGACCAGCTTCCAGGAATTAGCCCATGAAAACTTGATAGGTCTCTTCAGGTCGTTGTCCAACTCGCTTGTTTCTATCACTTCATCAGGGAGGAGGACATCATGTTTGTGAAGTAGGGGCCAGTGAGGGAAAGGGACACCCTTAGTGAGATGGATTGGTATTATAGCTACTACAATGGATTCAAACACGTTGGTGATTTTGAGAAAGATGCAGGACCAGGCAACATTTTGTTCTACTGCACATTATGTCACCATGAGTTGAAGTCAACTCCATGGCAATCAGCAACAGTAACAGCCTCTCAATGACCTAACAACCCATCCAGGAGCCCATAGAGGCGCGCTCTGTCCCTTGATTTCCTCATCCTTGCATTCAAGTTCTCTACTCTGAGCTCCATTCCTTTAGATATGATGATACCTCTTTTGCTCCCTTGATCCCCATTGGGTTTCTGAGGTGGTACATCTTTAAGGAAGTAGATGGCCTAGTCTTCCTTCCACAGACTGGCTGGTGGGTTTGAACCACCAATCTTCTAGTTAGCAGTCAAATGCATTAGGCACTACAGCACCAGAACTCCTTTTTGAGACTTTTAGGAAAGCTGTATAACTTCTCTCACAAGGGAAAACAAGAAAACAAAGCACATCTTCTCCTAACTTACCCTGGCGTATTCTTGGTATTTTCCCTGAAACTTACCTAAGTATACCACTTGAGAGACTGGCTTGAAGAGCTGAGTAACCTCTTGTAAGAACCAGAAGATTACATCTACCTGACAGCGTGTGCTAACCAGCTAACATGTTTATTCTGCTAATCAATATATATTTATATTATAAGCTAAAATGGCATATTTCACCAAAAATTACTACAATGGAAATGTCTTCCTCCTAGAAGGTAGCCTCTGCTGCCTGGAAGTCTTCTTCAAATATTTAAAGAAATATCAAACTGAAAGAAATTTAAACTTTTCTTTTGACCCTTAGACTCCTGCTCTCTGCTCCATCACTGTGCCACTCCAGTCAATCTACAAATACTCACCAGGACTATTGTCTAAACTGGTCCTAACGATATTCTGTTTGTTAAAACAAAAATTGCTTTAATCTTCCTTGTCCTTTGTTATAATGTTAGTTTCTGTTTTTATGCCACTAACGGCAAGATATAATGAATGTCTTGTACTTCTGGAAGCTTCAGAGATGACAATAGGATTATTGTGATTTTTAAAGATCAGCCATTCCTTAGCCATTATCTTGTCTTAGTATGCAAGTAGGAGCTCTGGTAGCATAGTGCCTAAGGCACTTAACTGCTGACCAGAAGGCTGGTGGTTCAAACCCACCAGCCACTCCTCAGAAGGAAGGTTGTGCAATCTACAACAACACTATGCAAATAGCCCTGGTTGTGAGAGTCAAATAAAATCTTCTATCAACCTTCACCATGTGAATTAGGCAACTTACCTCAGATTCTCCGCAACACCATCATTCAAACAGAATTCAAATCTGCTGCTCCCTGAAACTTTTGTATCAGTTTCTGGATTCCCAGGGTTGTAGATTCGCATGGCCTCTTGGGATTTATTAAATTGGGAAATAACTACCATGGCAATTAAACAAAATAGTATGCTGACAAATTGACAATTTTTCAATAAGATGTAGAGAAATTGTTCTGGAGATTGTGATATACTTGTGAGAATGTAATTGTCATAATTTTCATTCTTGTTCCAGTTTGTGTTATGAAGGAGATCAACAAAATATATATGGACACACACACCTACTTTGTTTATATGAGGAGCCCTGGTGATGCAATGGTGAAACACTTGGCCAGTGACCAAAAGGTTAGCTTTTGGAACTCACTAGCTGCTCTCAAGGAGCAAGATGTGGTGGCCTGCTTCTGTAAAGATTGTTGTTTTTAGGGGTCATCAAGATGGTTTCAACTCATAATGTACTTGCATACAACACAACCCAAACTACCAATTCTTGTGCGGCCCTCATACTCATTGCTACACTTGAGCCCACTGCTGCGTCCACTGTGCCAATTCTTGTAGGGTGTTGTGGTGGTTATGTTTTTGTGTCAACTTGGCTGAGCCTGGTTGAATGGCTGGGCATCTGGTAGTAGTTATTCCTCATGATGAGACTGGCAATCAACTCCATGGTGAGATCTACCACAAGCAGTTGAGTACCTGCCTTTGGGATGTTGTCTACTTCCTGTATATAAGAAGCAGCCTTGGGAATGGTCTCTAGCCTATGGCATGCTTGGACCCTGCATGTAGCCATGTTGTTCCTCAGCAGCCTGCCATGATTTGCCCACCTGGGGACTTATAATGGACTTAAGTTAATGGCCTGCCATCTGGTTCGGTAACATCGGGACTGTGCCTTTTCACTTGTCAACCTTGGGGCTTCTCAGCCTCAGCAGCCAGCAGCTGTCTGAGGAAAGAAATGCCTCTAGCTCCAGTGGGCCGGTAGCAGGAGGCAGAGCTGGACCCCAAGGTTGAGGGCCTTTCACCCAGCCCCTAGAGCCTGGCACTTTGAACTTGGACTTAAAACCTCCAAATTGTAAGAATAAACTCCAGTTGTTAAGGCCATCCCATTTGTGGTGTATTCCTGTCAGAGCGGCACCAGGGAACCACAACAGGTGTCTCTTCTTGTTCGCTGACCATCTACTTTTCCAAGCATATGTCCTACTCCAGGGAATTGTCCCTCCTGATAACATGTCCGAAGTACCAAATTCTCACTATCCTGGCTTCTGAATAGCATTCTGGCTGTACTTCCTCCCAGACAGATATGTGTGTGCTTCTAGCAGTGCATGGTATATTCACTATTCTTCATCAACACCTCAATTCAAATGCATCAATTCTTCTGTCTTTGTTAGTCATTGTACAGCTTCCATGTGAGTATGAGGGTACTGAAAAGACCATGGCTTGGGTCAGGTACACCTTAGTTTTCCAAGTGACATCACTGCTTTTAAGCACTTACAGAGGTCTTTTACATCAGATTTGCCCAGTGCAACACATCCTTTGATTTCTTGATTACTGCTTCTGTGGGTATTGCTTGTGGATCGAATTAAAATGAAATCCTTGACAACTCCAATCTTTTCTCCATTTATCATGATATTCTAAAGATGCCAGCTCTGGTGGTGTAGTGGTTAAAACATTGGATGCTAACAAAAAAGTCAGTGTTTCAAACCCAGAAGCCCCTCCACAGAAGAAAGGTGGGGCAATCTGCTTTCGTAAAGATTTACAGCCTTGGGTACTCAGTGGTCAGAATCACCTCAGGGCTGTGAGTTTGGTTTGGTTTGAGTTCATCGATAGCAGTATTTCTGGCATATCTTCAGTGCATCCCTCCAAATCCATTCTCCACCCCAACCTCCTCTTTGCTCTAGGAGGCTGTGCTATATCGACTGCATCAACGGGTCCCTGTGATCTCCATCTTATGCGTTTAGTCAGCAGTGCCACTAACAGTGAGGAAAACAAGGTCACAGTACTTTCCCCAGGCTCCTTACCTGCAGGGTTGCCATAAACTGGCTGCATTTCTGGATAGAGACTATAGGTCTAGCCAGACATTCTTGTTTCAAAGTTCTGCCTCTAGTGTCCTTAACCACTCAATTTTCTGGTCTCTTCAGGGCTACTGGTGGTAACAGTTCATAGAAGGTACCCTACCTACACTTATTACACTATTTGTAAGCATTTTCTCACACCATACTCATTCCTTTGTTATAGTTCCTTTATTACATTCTACTCAAATTACACAATTTAAGTGGCCATCT